TAAATATGCGGCATGCATCAGATGTAAGAGTACATAAACTGATAGATGAAGCTATAAAGACACAAATATATATAAATGAAGCAGCAGCAGCAGCAGCAGGAGGACCAGCAGCAGCAGCAGCAGCAGCAGCAGCAGCAGCAGCAGCAGCAGCAAGAGAGGAGCAGTTTCCTTCTTTATTATTCTCTGATTATCTTATAGAGTTCAATACACATCTACATAAAGGAGGATATAAACAAAGAATAAATAAATATATAAACTGGGTTGCTGCTGGGTGGGGGACGAAGCGGTGTATAAACACTATAGAAAATATAAAAAAAGAAGAAAAAACAAATGAAATTAAACTAAGAATAGATAAAATTAAAAAAATGCAACAAACTAAACTACTATTCGCCTTTGATTCAGCTGTATATACACCCCAAATACACACCAGCAGCAGCAGCAGCAGCAGCAGCAGCAGCAACAGCAGCAGCAGCAGCAGCATCGTAGACCCTCAAAGCCACTTTTCTCTTGCTCTCGGCCTTCTCTAAATTCATACAAAAATATTTTTTGTTTAAATAGTATTATATATATATATATATATATATATATATATATATCTATATATATATATTATACATACAGACAAAAACAGAGACAGAGAGAGAGAAAGAGAGAAAGAAAGAAAGAAGAGAGAGAGAGATGCATGCTAATGTAGAGACAAACAAAAATAAAAAATAAAATATTAAACTATTAACAAAGAATAAAGAAAAAAAGAAAAAATAAAAAAATAAAAAAAAATAAAAATATATATAATTTTGTCTCTCTCTTTCTGCCGCACCCAACAAGGCCCCTTGCTGCTGTATAATAAAAACATAAAAATAAAATAAAATAAAATAAAATAAAATAAAATAAAATAAAATAAAATAAAATAAAATAAAGTAAAATAACATATTAATATAATTATATAAAAACAAAATATAAATTGTTGTTGTTTGTTTCTTTTGGTGATTCGTTGCAGCTGTATTTGTTTTCTTTTTTTATTTCTTTTTGTTTGCTTTTTCTTTGTTTTTGTTTTTTCTTTGTTTTTATTGTTTTTGTTTTTGTTTTTGTTTTTTCTTTGTTTTTATTGTTTTTGTTTTTGTTTTTGTTCTTTGTTTGTTTTTATTGTTTTTGTTTTTGTCTTTTCTTCTTCTTTCTTTGTTTTTATTATTTTATATAATATATATATATATATATATATATGTATATATATA